CGAGAGAGAAGCAGGCAGCCATAGCCGAGCTGTGCTGCATAGTTGGATGAGGCGCATGGTGGTCCTTGGGTGCACGTGGCATCTGTGAGTGGGTGATCGAGGTTGTGAGTGATACGAGAGACATACCTGGTGCTTGAGGCGAACGGCATTGGCCGAGATCTGCTCGTACTCGGGGAGCTGTTGACGTCACCAGCAGCATCCCGATAGGATCTGCCATTTGTAGTCTGGGCGCAGAGCGCCAGATAGGATGTCGACATTGGTTCTTTGTTGATGATGATGGGACTATTCGAACATTGTCACTTCTGAGCTTTTGCTGTGCCCTTATTTGGCGGGACTCGTGTTGCAATCTGCTTTTGGTTCGAGGTCACGACTATCTGGTCTCATGTGTATGATGCTGCTTGGTTTTCTGAAGTTCGCTATCGCTCATTTTCCTTGCACTATATATTTTCATATATTTATTTAATATTCATTCCATTTATCGATTATTGATAATAATGTTGAGATAAAGTACAAAGTTTCATTCTATTCGTAATAGTGCGGCTACTCGAATAAAAAATATATGTTTTGTAACTGGAAGATCGAAAGCTTATTAAAGAGACTTTGGAATATCTCGTCATACATTTCGGGAGATGGCTCATGCTTGTTTATTACCTGGACTTACTAAATCAAGTTGGTAAAAATTTTGAATCAATAAAAAAAAAGAACAATTGAAAACACCCCTCTTGCTGCCTTGCAGAGGGTAAGTGGGGACACATTCGTCCTTAGATAGAAGCAGGGCGACAGGCTCAGGTGGCAAACCAGCTCAAGTTCCTGTCAGTCTTTGAGAACAAGGGAAAGTGATTTAATTCCTGTTCTTGCCCTTGATGATGGCATTGTTCATGGTTCATGGCTTTCAAACTTTTAGGTTCCCTGGGACCACTGCCTGGGCATCCAGGCATGTCACCTTGGGGGACACCCGCGCTGGTCAACCGTGGGCGCTAAAAACTTGAAACCTGGAATTTTGCTTTTGTTTCCGGATTGTTGGTGGGCGATTTGTGTGCCCACCAAGATCAGCCCCAATCTGGGCTCTTTTTTGTAGTTCGGTGTTGTCAGTTGAAAGGGGAAAGAGGGGTGTGAATGGGGTTCCAAGGGGTTTAGAGTGGTGTGCCTTAGTTTTTTTTTTAAATATATTTTTTAAATCTTTCATTCAGTAAGGAAGTCTGAGGTGGTGACCGGCAGCCAAAAGTTGTTTCCATTGCAGTTGTAGACAGCATTTTTGCTTTCAAGATTTTTTTTTATTTTTATTTTTCCCTTTCGTTTTAGAGGAAAAGTGATGGAAGAAGAAGAGGAAGAAGATGGGACGAGAAAGAAGTGGAAACAACAATTATGGAGACAAAAGAAGAAAGAAGAAGAGCAAAGAGTATGAGGAGTGACGAAAAGAAGATGGAGGTGAAAAATGAAGAAGTAGGCGAAGTAAGCCGAAGAGCAAAGAAGAATAGGAAAGAAGAACAAGAAACAGGAATAGTAAGAAGAAGAAGGTAGAAAGAGAAAAAGGAACCAAGAAAAAGGTAGTAGTACAGGGCTGTTGGCACCGAAGGGGTAATGGGCGACAGAGGCAGCCAGAAGCGGCAGTGGCAACAGGAGAATTGGCAATAGGAGCATTGGCACAGGGACGAAAACATAGCGGTGGCGACAGGATGTGTGAGCTTGGTGTGACATATGGCGCAATGGATTCTTTTTTCTTCCATTTTTTTTCTTTTTTTTCTTTTTTTTTCTAGGCTACCAGCCGGGCTGCCCGGGTTCCGGGTGGCCAGCCCGTGCAAGGACCAGGGAAGTTCCCAGGGAAAAAAAAAAAAAAAAAAACCAATTCCAAAAAATCCGGAAAAAAACTATGTTATGCAGAAAAATAAACTGAACAACTTTTGCCTCAGGGTCACATCGAAATTCTTCACCAAATTTAGAATAAAAAACAAATTCTAAAAACAATTTTTTTATTTTTATTTTTTTAAATTTTCTTGGTCCGGCTTGGCAAGTTATCCCGGGCCACTCTGGTAGCCTAGTTTTTTTTCTCATTTTTTTTCATTTTTTTCATTTTTTTCATTTTTTTTCATTTTTTTCATTTTTTTTCATTTTTTTTCATTTTTTTCATTTTTTCATTTTTTTTCAATTTTTTTCCGTGTGGTCCGATGGATAGCGGATCAGATATTTAACCACCACTACATTTTTTTCCCAGCCGTTTTTTTCCAAATACGCGGTGTGCATGCTCTGCCGCATTGGGAGGGATGTATTGGGGTGCCGTTTTTCACTGGAAAAATTCATCCAGGCACAAAATGTGCCTTGCATGTGACCCATTTTGCCTGGACGCTGGATGGATGTCCAGCAAAATGGCACCCCGGCGGACATCCCGCACGACGCGGCAGCATGCATGCACGCCGCATCCTGCACGATGCGCCAGCATGCACGCCGCGTCTCTGAAAAAATGGCTGGGAAACGTTCTGGTGGTTTAAAACGACGGCTCAGAACAGGCAGCTACTGCACTTCGTCTTGGCCAAAAGGCTGGGACAGGTATTCGTCTTCCCGGACAATTCAACCCTTCTGCATTGTGCCGCCGATTTTGAGCCCGCAGGGCAAACTGGGCGCGCAACCCCACGTTCCTCCAGTGGTGAAGAAAAGACACAAAAAAATGACAAAATGGATGAGAGAGAGAAAAATAAAAAGAAGCCTTGAAGGCTCGCAATGTCGAATGAATCGTCTTTCTTTCTCGAGCCTGTAAGGCCTGGCACATCTTGGGGTTCCGTGCCGCTGCCCCTACAAGTCCACTACATCTTTTAAACCACCAGTTCGATCTGAGCGGCCATTTTCCAACGAGACGAGGCGTGCATGCTGCCACGTCGGGTGGGATGCATGCACACTCTATATGACTCAGGGCCTATAAAAAAAAAAGACATAGGGCTTGCTCCACAGTATCAAAGCGCTTTCCTTGTAGTTTGAAAGCAATGTTGATAGTGTGGAACAAGCCCTATGTCGTTTTGCAAGCCCCAGGTCGTTTTGAAGTCAACATTGCTTGCAACTCCAAGGAAAGGGCTTTGTTCTCTTTTTTTTTTTTTTTTTTTTTTTTTGGACAAATTCTCCAGTCTATTCAGATGTGAAATGGCGAAAGTACCTTACCACATTCCTTTTTTTGCAAGTTACACTGACTGTTTTCACATTTGGCAAGCACTGGAATCTAGACTGGAATTTGCCCCAAATACGGCTACAACGACCGGGCGTTCTATTCGGGTGAAGACAACGCAGTCAAACAATGCCTTAATGATAAATGAAAGGAAGCCGATAGATCATTATAAGCAACGGAATACAGGAGTGCCACCCATGGTTGCGTGGTGGCAGGAGGAGGCAGAACAACCTGGGGGAGCCCCCCCATGCCCAGATTCTTTAATTGATTGTAGACTATGATGATCAACGGCCAGGAATGAAGAATCCAGGTACGTTGAACCTTGTTCCTGTTGTGATGCTTTGATCAAGAACATTGCCTTTGTGTTATGACGACTGTGGCGTTTCTGGTTGTGCAAGTTTTTAACACTATATATATTATATATATAGATGTTATGATCTTGGTTGCCTGACGATTTTACCGCCACTCACACACAGACAGTCTCATACACTCCCATACATGCATAAGAGATGGGGGAGAGGAGACAGAGTCCAAACTGTACACAGATCAGACAGAGTAAACAGCGAAAGTTCAGCCATGCACAGATGGGGAGAAGACACCCTGGGTTTCTCACTCTCTGACAGACTCCCAACAACCAATCACAAGAAGAAACCTGCGAGGATAACAATTGGAAATTCACACTGATGAAGAGCCAATTAAAACCCGATATCGTTACAGATTTTGTTCCAGTATCTCGCCACACTCAAAACCCCGCACTCCACTCTCTACCCTACACCCAGTTAGTAGCGCACAACCGAAACAGCCTCCCAGAGGCCAGCGCCAACCACCCAGATGAAGAACAGATCCTGCGATGAAGTCTTCAGGGCCGATGAACAACTCTGAAAAAGAAACAGCCAGCTATGGCTGCCGCCACCCACAAACACTCAGTGAAGAGCCTCGAGATAGCCCGGCCAGACGCAGATACCCTCAGGGGTAGATGCGCTGAGGATGCCCCAGCTCCAGCAACCTTCAGAATGGGCCGGCTATGGCTGCCGGCCACGGCGAGGGTCTCAGGATACCGCCTGTAGACAATCACCGCCACCAACTTGCTTGACCTCCCCAAAACGCTGCTTCGCAAAAATGAACAGCCAAAAGTCCTGAACCGATTTTCCTAATCTATTAATAGATCTACACTACCCTAGCCTAGACCTAGACCCGACTGACTGGACCGACCGGTACCGTTCCTGTTTCGGCCTCTCGGCCTCTCCCTACCCGGCTATAGGCTATAGGACCGTCTATCGGTATAGGCCTTTCAGGCCTGTCCGTCCTAGGGGTAGCCCGGGTCTGCTATACGCAGTTAGGGTCAGCTGTAGGAATTTCAAATTAGTGCTGGGCCTGTATTTTCCCAAATTTGCAGATATGTCCCTCACGAATATTCCTTACAGGTAGGTCTCTCGGTTAGCCCTCAGCCAAACAAATTATGAATCTGCTCTACCGCTGTTACTGTACAGCCTCGCAGTCAGTCTCGGCAGTCAAAATCAGCAAGTCATTGCATAGATCAGGTTTTGAATTGTAAAGACGGGGCTTTCTTTGTCTGTCACACCACTTCAGTATGGTGTTGGGTGATAATCGAGTTTTTGTTCGTTTCGTCTTGTTTTTTTTTTGTAATCAAGTTTTTGTTTGTTTTGTCATTTTTTTTTTTTTTGTCGTGTGTGTGTGTGTCAAGAAGATGATATGCCAGTTCTTCTGCTTCATCATCATCAGACGCAGAAGGTAGTTTTCCCTTCGCTTGTTTGTTTGCAAGTCTGATTGAGCAGATGTGTGTTTTTTCGTCCCCCGCTCCCGTTTTGGGTGTTTGGTTGCACCTCAGGTTGCCGATGTGTATTCTAACATACAGACGATTGCTGATGCAATCGGCCTGACAGATGAAGGGCACAATGTTGTGGGGTGGCTTAAGTCTCGATGGAACAGTGTTCGCCACAACAGTCCTCAGTGGATGGATGGTGTTCCTCAAGTAAGCGTCGCATGCCTTCAATGGCTGGACCCCCTGATTGGGGCGGGATTCTGGGTCCCCGAGATCGTCTGCTGCGCAGGTGGAACCAACCTGTTTGGTAGTCCGGGTGGCGAGTCTCCCCGGATAACGTTCGAAGACCTTGAGAAAGTGGATCCCGACATGATTGTTGTCATGTGCTGTGGGTGGAGCATTGATCAGACCGTGAGAGCGATGGCGTCCCTCGAGAGGAACAAGGGATGGGACTCGCTGAGGGCAGTGCAGACTCATCGCGTTTACATTGCCGATGGGGACTGCTATTTTAACACCTCAGGCCCATCCGTCGTCGATTCGGCGGAGATGATGGCAGAGATCTTGCACGGGGTGGGCCTTGCAGACGACAATGGGACTAAACTGAGGCGTTATGAAGGGTTTGGCTACATCCGGTGGGTAGGATCGGCGAAGTTTGCGTCGGTTGTGAGGGGAAGTAAACCGGCGAATCAGAAGGCGCCGCTCTCAGAGACAGCAGAGCGGGAGCTGCAGGAAAGATGGATGGACAGGGATCGTGGCAGCAGGGATGAGATAACGAGGGGTGGAGAGGGTGGGATGCAGAGAGGAGGGGGAGGGAGGCTACACGATGAGCAGGATAGGGTTCAGGATGAGTACACTGAAGGTGGGCGGTCGTTCAATGGAGTGACGAAGAGAGGGGGTGCAAACACGTGGATTGGGGATCGGGCAGGTGGTGGGGTCAGGCCTCCAGAAGGGGGGGGGTTCTCTGCAGGTGCACGCGTTCATTCGGGGGGGTATGTTGTGGAGAGTGACAGTGCAACCGTGGCTGAGAGCGACGCAGCGACAAATACGACAGGGCCTGGCACAGGAACGGCTACCCCTACTGAGAGTGATGATGGCTCTGTTGCGATTCATATTGAAGAGAGGAGATATGGTGTCGAACAAGGAAGATACGGAGTCAGTAGGGGCATGCCAGCTGCACCGAGGGAAGTGGTGGTATCCAAGTGGGATTGGAAAGGAAAGATGAAATCAGGCGGAAGCAAGGCTGGGGGAGTGCAGTTGGGGGTGGGAATGTTCGGTTCTGCAGATAAGGGAAGTGTCATGGTCATGGGGGGTGGTGTTGACGGAACTGCAGGTGGGACAAATTGGGACTTGAATGGTGGCGATGATGTGCAGGGAAAGTATGGAGATACAGCCAGGTGGGATACTATGGGCAAAAAGGAAGGGGTTGGATGGATGAGGAAGGTTGGGGTAGGTGTACGGAGAGGAAGTGGAAGAGTAGATAGTGTGGTTATGGTGGTTGGTGAGCGACCGAAAAGTCGGCGGGAGTTGGAAGCCAGTGCACTGAACAATCTGTGGTCCTTGACTGAAGCGGCAGCATCGCGTACAGGAGGCTTGCGAGGTCCAGCATCGAGTCATGGTGGGGATAGTCCCAGGCACTCGTCGCTGAGAAGTTCGAAGGACGGCATGAATAGCTTGAGGAGATCCAGGGACAGCAGCCTGCACACATCTCAACAAACAGCGGGTGACAGTCGTGCGTTAGAGAACTGCAGGCCTCCGAGTCAGCCTGAACACCTGCCTGATGATGAAAGGCTGGGTGCCGAACGCAAGCCGTTGAATCTGAAGGCAGCAGAATTACGAGAAATTATGGTTGACGTACTGGCTGAAATGGTTCCTGCTGATGCGATCCTGTTGAGTGGCGGGCTCGACACGTGCGTCCTTGCAGAAGCAGGTCGCTTGGCTATGGCTGCCAGGAGGCAGAAGCTCAAGGAGGCCGGCAGTAGGGAAGCCATCTCCGCATCCAGTGAATGTGCTTTCAAGATGGGGATAACGGTGATTGCAGGGCCCCATGCCACCGACGGGCCTTATGCAAGGGAGATCGCTAAGCGATGTGAACTCCTTCATAGTGTTGTGGGTGGCGAGGACAGCTCCATGACCCCGGCGGATCTTCTCGAGAAGGAGGTGGAGTTCGTTGTGAGGACGCTTGGGTGCTTTGATCCTATGGAAGTAAGGAACAGCATTGCAGTGGCAGCAGCACTAAAGGAGGCAAAGAGGTTAGCGGTGAAGACAGTGGTTACTGGTGATGGTGCCGATGAAGTCTTTGCAGGGTAAGCTCCAGAAGATGGGTCAGCGGTGCGGCGGCATCTTGTCTTCTTCTTGACTTGCATGGAATTTAAGTGATGCCAGTCCGTTCATTCAGGAGGGTCACTTCCCAGCCTTGCAACGGACGTAGGAAAGCACATGTTGAGGCATGCTTCACGGCCCTGTTCAATCCTTGGCCCTTGTACACTGTTTCTCTCCCCTCCCCCCTCCTCGTAAAACTACACTTCATTCTTCTCTCAAATTCTTCTTTTTTGCTGTTCACTACATTTCAGCAAAAAGAAATTGCCGAGGTAGGTACTGAAAGGCAATGTCTTTTTTTCTGAAAGGCAATGTTTGAACTTTGAACGGTAAGTAAATACAATGAATGCAGACTGTTCTAGCAAAGAGGAGTAGGTTTCCAGCACCTGGAGGAGGGTACCTGTCAAAAAGCTCATCTTTACTTGGGAGTTGTCGAAAACAGGAGTTTGCAACTCGGTTCTGTGATCTGTTTCTGGGCTTTGTATTCATGTGGCCCCTCTTAATAAACGAAGGTTACTTAATAAACGAAGGTTACTTAATAAACGAAGGTTACTTAATCTAATAATAATAGAGTCGTCCTACTCTGTGCTGGAGGAATCTCAGCTCACAAACATCTGCATCACAAAGTGCAATGTGGTGACGCGTTCATCCGTGTAATTAAAGAGCAATATCATCGCGACTAAGTGAAGATAAGCATGAACTCTACGTATAACCCAATCATCTCATGTAACCCTCGTAGCACGCACGTTATTGGCACAAGTGAGTGGTCAGGATCGAAACTCCCGGTGCTCACAGCCGTCTTCACGATGACTACGTTGTCAGCAATGCTGATCACAAGATGACAGCTCCCAAGTGGAAATGAAGTCCACTACCCAATGTTAAACACCACCAGTACATGGCCCAGCGAAGATGAGAATCCGAGCGAGACTCTCCTAAAAATATCGGGGGCCCAGGACAGGGACTCCGAAGGGCCAGAGGAGAAAAAGAGAAAAGCCCCATGGGGTGGCACTAGGCCCAGTCCTGAACAAAAAACCAATTTCCGCCCGCCTGCCCCCAGGCGGGCCCTGTCTCGAGTCCACTGACAATGAACAAGGCAGCAGCACTGCAGGCCCTTCATATATAGTGGGATACCCCCCCCCCCCTCTGGGGCTTCTTCGAGTGACTGGATACCGGAGGTATGTTGTAGTGAAGGGCCCTGGTGTTGCTTCAATAAAAGGGGGGAGGAGGCTTGGTTGGTGGGGAAGGAGGGGGGATGCGAAGGCACCATTTGTGCGTGTGGGTAAACAGGACGTTTCAGGGAACCAGGCAGGCTGTAACCCGAATTCACACAGGTAGGAGGACGTTGCCTGGCCAAGAAGGAGGCGCTTAGAAAAAAACAAAACAGCCCCCATTCTTGCGAGATTTGCTTGTCACCTACGCCAAAAATTTGGCGCCTCGGGCCTACCGGACCACAACTTGGCTGACAGCGCCAGCCACAAAAGAAAAAAAGTGCGCCACTGGTGGTTCGGAAAAAAGCTTGTGCGCACACTGCCGTGCCTCCAGGCCCAGCTGTACTGGTGTGGTGGTTTAAAAAAAATTGAGACTTGCAAAAATTCAGAGGGATTACGTAAATACAGAGAAGAGTCAGAAGACGTAAAAAAAATAAAAATAAAAAATAAAAAAAATCGTGAACAGTGGGAAGGATCCCGGGAAACTGACCCATCCAAGCAAGCGTCATGTCTACACTGGCCATCAAAGCAGCTTGACAACATAAAGGAAGAAAGCAACAACAGGAAAAGAAAAAATAACCGAGAGTTGCAACGATTTCAACTGTCAGAGACGGCCCAAAGTGCCCTGCCGACTATGGTGAATACTTCAGCGCAGTGTACCGCTCCCTGGTACTGACGCTTGATCCCATTCACGGTTCAACTTGACGGGATCATCTCCACCGGGTCCACCGTCGTCCTCACTTTCCCCTTCCTGGCCTACTCAATCCAGGCTCTCATACCTGGTGGCAAACCTGGTGGCAAACTGCTGCCTGAGGCTCCCTTTGTCCCGTCCCTTGTGACCTTGGGACTATGTGGACCTTTGTCTCGTTCCTTGTGACGTTGGGACTATGTGGATGCAGAAGGTAATTCCGCACATATTTGGGCGGAGTGGCAGCAGCAGGCATGCTCCCTAAGCTTTCCTCAGCGCATGGAAAACATTATTCTCTCTCTTCTTGTCCGGCCTGCTGACATCAAGGTTGTTGTGGTGGATGGGTTCATTCAGCATGGAAGATAGGGGTGGGGAGTCGGCATGCACTTCAGCTCTGCGCGTGGTGACTGCCTCATATGTGTGAGTACACCTGAGTCCGTTGAGGCCTGACAAATCGAGGCTTCCACTGCTGCTCATCTCCCTGCTCCTTTCAGCGCTCTTGCTGATCTACCCCTCGCTGTCCGTGTCCCTGTGTTGTCTCTAGCTGCTGCTGCGGGTGCGTTTTTGCATCTGCTCTTCCGTTGGCTGCCGCTGCCCGATAATGCTGCACCTGCACCTTCCCCTCGTGCTCCACGTGGCCTGAGCGCAGTCGACGATTTGGGCTGGATGGTCTGATGTGGCCTTGTTGGAGGTATAAAAGAATTCAATGGACTGTTTCTGTCAAGCGTTGAAGTATGCGCAAAGGAGATGAAAGGCAAAGGCTCTGCCGCGCTCGACCCCTTTTAACGCATGCGTGTCCTCTGGTTGTCCTCTGGTTAAGACCTCAGTCCTTAGCATTGAGCTAAGAGACTGGTAGGCGAGCAGGTTGCTTAGAGCCCACGCTGCACACAATATAGGATCGTCCGTTCTTTGTCATTAGTGGAGAGAGGAGAGCTTGGATGGGGAGGAGGTTAGTGTTGCAAGTGCCCAGCCGATGGGAGGTGGAACAGGACGGCCAAAGTCTGGGTCATGGGCGCTGGTGTGTACTTGTGGGAGTTTGGTGCCCTGCTGGGAGAGCCTTGGCAGAGGAGGGGGTTCGGCATTGCTGACACCGGCTATTGAGAAAGCTTAAGGGTCATCTTCACTGGATTGCTCAAGCGTTCGCTGGCACAGTTGGAGTGCCATCGTTCTAGTTGAGACGAGGGGGAAGTTGAGTGGGAGAGGGAGGTCTTGGGTGACTAAGATTTGTTTTCAGATCCAAGATAGATTTGTTTTCAGATCCATCTTGTTATTCTTAATTCACTGTGTGCATTAACTAGTTACCATTGTGTTCATTTGATTTCCACTAAATTCCCTCTAGTACCGTCTTCAGCCGAATAAAACGCCCAGTCATTACCACTGCATCTGGATCGAAAGTTGTACCGAGTACAGCTATAATGACCGGGTGTTCTATTCAGGTGAAGACGGTAGTAATGATGTATGACTTTTTTGTCAAATGCTGCATGCCAGTTTGACTTCAGGCATTGGTTTCTTGCGAGGAAGTGAAAATAAACATGAAATTTGCAAATCGATGGAAAAGAAATCGATAACATGAAAATATGGCTGCTAATTATCTCCGTGGTGAAACCAAGAAAGATGTGGAGCTTAAAACGGAAAATAAGACGCAACCAAAAAGTGGTGGACCTAGAATCCAATCAATGGATTTCTACAATGAAGATTGAAATCAAAAGAAGTAAAGACTGGGTTACGCCGACGCCCGGTCCAGACGGGCTGGGCCAGACGGACCGGGGGGGGTCCGTCCGGCAAAACCAGATGAGCCAAAAAACGTCCCAGGAATTTTTTATTATTTTTTTTGAAAATGGGGTTGGAGTGCGCTCGCTGAGAGGAGCCGGAATCCACGGAGAAACTTGTGAAAGACATCTGTGTTGGGGGGGG